CAAACAAAGACCCTGTTTTTAAACTTCATGCTGATTTATTGTTCATTGACGAAGGCTTCACTTTTATCTGAGGTGTTCGATGATGTATCGACTATTTGTTTCCATGTACTGTATACTGTACAGTATACCAGGTGAGATGGCAGTAGCTTGGAGAGGCCTTTCATCCAACAGTAGATTGACCATGGCTGATGATGATGGTGGTGGTAGTGGTGTGCTGTGCTGCCTTAGATTCCAGAATACATTTATGAACTTTCCGTTTGCTGGCCACGTCGCAACACAAGCCGACAACACCTGGTGTTGGCAGGCAGTCTCCTATCCAAGTACTGCACTGACCAGGCTCACCCCTGCTTAGCTTTGAAGAACTGTCAAGATGGAGGCTTATTCAGGGTGATAATAAACGACTTCATTATAAGATTGCGCTTGCGTGCAATAATGTGCCGCGCTAATAATGCGCTCCTAATAATGATCGTAACAACAATGGGGTCTGGGGGGGGGCGTGAAAAAGCGGTAATATTTGTGCCTCTGCAATAAGGACCTGAGTTCAAATTCCTGACCCGTGTGCCTTTCTTCGTGGAGTTTGTGTGTTCGCTCCCTGTTCTGCATGGGGTTCTTCCAAATTCTTCGGTTTCATCCCAGAGATAATTTTTTTAAAACTTAATCATCTATCTAATCTGCATGTACGTTGAACTTCTTTCGCACCGTACGTGGTCAAAAGTGATAATCAGAGGCGAGGAGAGGAATGGCACAAACACATTAGCAGATCAAACCGTAATCTGTTTCGGCAGCTGCACGGAGCGCATCCTGCCGCAACATTTCCTGCAAAAACAACAACGTTCATTTGGGATTAAACGTAGCAACATCGCCTCCCATCATCCGCGACAGACTTGGCAGGACCCTCCTGAAAAAAGGGTGTCTTGAGATTCAACGAGGCTTTCCCGAATATTAAAAGCATAACAATGCATAAATAAACCCTGATATGCATTTCAAGTAGTACCGCTCACACAGGATGAAATGCTAAGTTATTTATCCGAACACATTCTGTTTTATTTAGTAAGCCTCGGATTTGTTTTTTTTCTGTGGTTGCGCTTTGACGTCTCGCTGTGCACGGTCACGATTCCCGACGTGCCGTGACGTCACGCCGACCGCAGCACTCCGGCGGAATGAATAAATCACGTGGCTTATGAAGTATACATCTTGTTCATTGCATTATGCATCCGACACGGCTCGAGCAAGGCAAGCGACGATTCGCTCGGGAAAATGAAGCAACCTAATGGTAATTAATAACAATATATACATATGGGTGTGTGGAATACGAACGGATACACGTGTATGAATGCTTAATGTTGCTGGCGGTAGTGGTCCTGAACGATTTTGTGCCCTAAGCAAACATGACATATGAAAAATCTATATATATACACACACACACTTTTATTTATTTACATATATTTAATATATCTATGCTGCCCCCCAAACCCCCCCCCCGCCCTTTGAATTTATAAACTCCTCGTGAGATGACAAAAAAGATATAGAGGCAAGAGGTGGAGAGATGCAGTGAGATAAGGGAAATGTAGACGCAGAATTAGTTGGAGTGAGATGATAGAAGGGACAAGATAGAGTCGAGAGAGATTCATCCGCCGGTTGATGTTCATTGGTTCGTTGTGTTAGTTACGATTTGAATTTGAGATGGTAATTGATGCACACACGTATATATTTATTTTTTCCCAGCATAAATCCGCGGGCCCCTTTAGCTGCTTGGGCCACACAGCTACTTTTCAATTTGCTTTAGCCTCGTGTCGCCACTCTAACGCGACGTACCGCGGTCTTCGTGCAGTGCAAGCCGATAGTCACGTTGACGGCAATCGCAAATCTCCTCGCGAGCGAATCGCCCTGAAATGCGGCTTAGCGCATGAGGCGGGAAACCGCTTGGCAATGCCGGATGGCGTAGGCTCTGAATTTCACAAGATGGCCCAAGAGTGGGCAGCAGAGCAGCGGGCTTTCTCTGGGTTACTCCGTTTTCCAGCCGCGTGCAAAGCATCCGTCAATATGGGAATGGCCAAACGTCCCATTGCAGGAATCCTTGAGAATACGTCTTGAGACTCGGCATGTGCTTTCCTGGGCAAATAAAACGGCATTATCGCTTGTACGGGCACGCTGTCACCGGCGAAGGTCTCAGACACTCCTTGTAGGGGTCAGATGTTGACCCAAAAGGTCACACCATATATTTTTTAACAGGCAATAAACTTTGCAGTGCATGTTTTTATTGATTGCACTAAAGTACACACAGACTGACCTAACCTTGCCTATATTTGCATATGACCGCATGTCACAATGAACTCATTATGCACTGACAAGTGTGAGCGTGTGCCCGTGAGTACGCAGATGCGTATCGCCGAGTGCGAGCGTTATTAAGATGCAGCGAGTAGCTGCGTGTGGATGCAAGCGCGGACGCGATGACTCGTGACGCTCTAATGCACGCACGCGAGTTAGCCCGAAGAGCAAAAGCGCAATACCTTCATACTTTAAGCGACATTGTGAGCACTGGCCCTCCTGCATCTTTCGAATCGGATGAAGGGCCAATGCTCAAAACGTCACTTATTCAATAATTTCTCTCCCTTTCAATTTAGTTTCACTTAATTTCCCCCTCGAACGTAGCATTGAGGTGGTGCTCAACTGCTCCTCTCTCTCAGTCTCTGAGCAGGTGGTGGTGAAGGGGAGAAAAGAAACTTCCCCACAAAGCGGTACCTATATTTTCAACCCCCGGAGGGATGATGGGCCGCGTCAACCACCCCACCGGAATTGGCAGCTCGCAACCGTGCCTCAGTTGTCTTCTCGGTCGTTGCTGTTGACGGGGACGCCGCTTCGAGCTTCTGCGAGCTGTGCTCGTTGCGTCAGCGCCAACGCAAAGCGTCGTCGCTCGGCTTTCGGGACTCATCCATCGCGCGACAATAACCGAGTCGTGAACCTGCAGACGACGACTGTGCACGGCAATCGACGTGACGTTACGCGAGGATCTCTGTCGCCGCCGCCGCTGTTGCGCGTGCAAAATACAACAGCGGACCTCGGCTATACCCATTGAAAAAGCCGACACTGTGCGGCTCGTGAATATTTATCAGACTTCACTCTGCCCGAGAGACAGAGCGCAAGTCCGGAGTGCGCGCGCGCGCGCGGGCGGTGTGCTCGCCAGCGCCGAGGCGAGAGCGACTCGCGGCCGTGACACATCGTGCGACCCAAATCACGAACAAAACGCAGTAATTACGGAAGGAATGCACTTTAATAGGGGGGGGGGGCAATTGACGAATTCGCATTCCATTTGGCACCGTCGATTTTCTCGGGGCGGCGGGGGGTTCGACCACAGCTGCTTCCGCGCGCAGAGCCGCGGGCGAGAGAGAGAGAGAGAAAAAAATTCGCCAAATAAATTAGATGCCTTATTGGAAATGTTTTTTTTGTTTGTGTAAAAGAGATGTAACGTCGAGGAGAAGAAAGGTCCACGCTCTACATAAATGCAGCGGGGTGGCGGACAGACAGGGCCCACATCTCACAGCGCAGCGTTGTTTTATACGCGGGCTTTCCCATACATCACAGACGAGACTGATGCACTTTGGGGGCCGAAGGCCTTTAGTGGCGAAAAAATGATGTACATTATATCTTGAGACACGCAGCGTGTGCACGGCATTGCGTGTCGGTGTGAATGTGAAGGTGGAGTCCAAAGTGTTTTGGAACAGAATATGAAGAAAAAAATTGTAGAGTTGTCACTCAGACTTAATATTACGGTTCCTTTTGAGACCATTACATGAAAAAAGACGTAAGCTCGATGTCTGTTTAAGCAGTCCTTTTTACGTCCATCACCCTTGCTATGTATATGAGAATATGTGTGTGCATGTGTGTGCATGTGTGTGCATGTGTGTGCATGTGTGTGCATGTGTGTGCATGTGTGTGCACGTACAATGGGGAGCGGTAGTGTAGGGGTTAGCGCTACGCTGCCCGACAAAGCTGGCTACTCGGGTTCAATTCCCGCTCACGGCCAACACCAGTGACGATTATCTGAACCGGTCCTGGGCCTCCCCTAGGTCGACTCAGCCTCAAATGAGTACCTGGTGTTGTGTATAAACATCACCACTGGGGAGAAAAAGGTGGCCGGGCTTAGTGCTGACCACCCATCCCCTCGTGTGCCGTGCCGGCATTCATTGGTGCTTGCCAACAGCACTTTCCCCAGCACTCTGTTAATGCTATACGGTGGTTCTCTGTCTTTTAAAGCATTTCAGTGTATGTGGGAGGCTAATGCAATCTTTCAGTGGAAAATGCACCATAGAAGTCCGCAGAAATATCTAAACGTACATTAAAAAATATGTTATCCTACGTTCACGCAATTCGTGTGTGAACAGCACCTGGAGAGGCTGCTGTGGCTTGCATTATGGATGAACTCACCACCGCCATAGGACTGTGGAATATCCACCATCGGCTCAGGCCCACACCGACAGAGATGATCAGCACCCCGTGCTCTTTTTTGTTTGCGTACGCCAGACACCGACGGCTCCGCAGCTTCAATCACCGCTTTCGAATCGGCAGAAGTCAACGGCGCCCACTAATGCGTCCGATCACTGATTGAAGAGGTGCTTTCGCAGAGGCCCCCCCGAAAACACGACGCAAAAAAAATGAGGAATGGAAAGGCGAAGACACTTAGGGTTGACTTATGATGGCCAGCGGATACTATTTCAATTCAGCGTCCGCCTCGGGACAAGCAGAACAAAGCGGCACAAGAGTCATCCATTTCCGACCCCCCCATACCCCCCACCCCCGTGAGCAGTAAAACAAGCCCCTTTTGTCCCTTCCCCCCAAAGACTGATCCTAACCATATTATTTTTGACAGGTTACCGTGATGGACAGAATGTGCGAAAGGGCCACGGGTAATACGAAATGGCTTTCCTAATGTCTCTTTCTCTCTCTTTCTCTCTCTCTTGCTCGTGTGATCTGTCTCGCCCCCCCCCCCACCCTTTTTTTAGTTTTTACAGGAAATTAGAGAATCTTTAACGCTCAAGATTGTGCGCCGACGGCAAAACTTAATATTGCTGCGACCGAAAAACGGTGCTGGATTTTGCGACACGAATCGAAACGAAGCCAAGCTGAGCCCTCCGCCTTGACCGCTCCTCGGCACAAGGCAGTACTGGGTGAAGAATTGAAACTCAACAAACGACCGAGGACGGGAAAAATAAACCCAACAACAACAACGACAACAACGCAAGACAAAAGTGCGCGGGCATACACACGTCACGCGCCGCACCGCGTACGGATACATACCTTGCATCAGGCGGGCGAATCGATAAAACAAAACAAAAAAGGAGACGATGGTGAAACCTTGGTGCGCCGTGAGCCTGGCGCTGGTGGCCCTGCTGGGAGCGGCCACGCCGGCCACCTCGCAGTGCCCGTCGCGGTGCATGTGCGAGGTGCGGCCCTGGTTCACGCCCAACTCCCTCTACCAGGAGGCGGCCACCGTCGACTGCAACGACCTGCGGCTCCGCGAGGTGCCGCGGAACCTGTCGGAGGGCGCGCAGGTGCTGCTGCTGCAGAGCAACGGCATCGCCGAGATGGGCGCCGAGCTGGCCGCCCTGGGCAACCTCACCGAGCTCGACCTCTCGCAAAACAACCTGACGCACGCCGGGAGCTCCTCGTTCGCCGGCCTCGGCCAGCTGGTGATCCTGCACCTCGAGGAGAACGTCATCGGCGAGCTGGCCGAGGGCGAGCTCCGCGACCTCGGCGGGCTGCAGGAGCTCTACGTGAACCACAACCAGATCGAGAGCATCCACCCGGGCGCCTTCCTCGGCCTCCGGAGCCTCATCCGCCTGCACCTCAACTCCAATCGGCTGCGGGCCATCGACAGCCGCTGGTTCGAGTTCACGCCCAACCTGGAGATCCTCATGGTGGGCGCCAACCCGGTGCGGCAGGTGGAGGACATGAACTTCATGCCGCTCTCCAAACTGCGGAGCCTCGTGCTCGCGGGCATGGGGCTCCGCGCCGTTCCCGAGAACGCGCTCATGGGACTCGACAACCTGGAGAGCCTCTCGTTCTACGACAACAAGCTCGCCGCCGTGCCGCGCCTCGCTCTGCGCAAGGTGCCCAGCCTCAAGTTCCTCGACCTCAACAAGAACCCCATCGCGGTGATCCGCGAGGGCGACTTCCGCAGCATGCTGCAGCTCAAGGAGCTGGGCGTCAACAACATGATGGAGCTGGTGGCCATCGACCGGCACGCACTCGACGACCTGCCCCAGCTCACCAAGCTGGAGGTGACCAACAACCCGCGGCTGTCGTTCGTGCACCCCGACTCGGTGCGCGCGATCCCGCGCCTCGAGACGCTCATGCTCAACAACAACGACCTGAGCGCGCTGCACCGGCGCACGGTCGACGCGCTGCCTAACCTGCGCGAGATCAACCTGCACGGCAACCCCATCCGCTGCGACTGCATCGTGCGCTGGATGACGGGCAACGCGACGCGCGTGCGCTTCATGGAGCCGCAGTCCACGCGCTGCGTCTCGCCGGCCGAGCACGAGGGCAGCCCCGTGCGCTCGGTGCCCTCCTCCGACGTTGCCGACGGCTGCCTGCCGGCCATCGCGCACGGGGCCTTCCCGTCCACGGCGATCGCCAACCCGGGGGCGACGCTCACCTTCGTGTGCCGCGCCGTCGCCGAGCCGCCCGCCGACATCCACTGGGTGACGCCGTCGGGCGATGGCGTGGCGCCGGGCGGCGCGTCCGACAAGTACCGGCTGAGCGAGGAGGGCACGCTGGAGATCGTCGACGTGCGCTACGAGGACACGGGGCTGTACACCTGCGTGGCGCGCAACTCGGAGGGCCTCGACTCCCGGGCCGTGACCGTGCGGGTCAATGGCTCCGTGCCACACGTGCCGGGCCGCCTGCTGTCACTCGACGTGATGAACGTGGCGGCGCGCTCCGTCCTCGTCTCGTGGCGGCTGCGCCCAGGCGGCCGCGCCCCGGACCTCCGCTGGACGTCGGCGACGGTGCGCATCGACAGCCCGCGCGTCGCCTTCACGGCGCGCGTGCCCGTGAGCGTGCACGAGTACAACCTGACGCGCCTGCAGCCGCGCACCGAGTACGAGGTGTGCCTGGCCGTGTCGGCGGCCCCGCGCGGCTCCGGCCGAGCCGAGCGCTCCTGCGTCAACGTGACGACGCGCGCCGAGCGGCCCGGCGCGCCGACGGGAGAGGAGGGCTACGGCGGAGGCGACGCCGTCGGACGGGGGACGGGCGCGGCGGCGCTGGCGGTGGCGCTGGGATCGGCGCTCGGCCTCGCCGCGCTGCTGGCGCTGCTCGCCTGCTCGGCGCTGCGAGGCCGTCGCCAGCGCTGCCACCTGCCGAGCCATCACCAGCAGCAGCAGCAGCAGCAGCGGCCGCGGTGGCACCAGCGTCGGCGATGCCAGCGCTACTGCGAGCGCCCGCTGAGAAAGCTCTCCGCGGGAAGCTGCTCCTCGCTGCAGGAGCTACAGCCGCCGCCGCCGTTGTGGGAGGAGGAGGGCGGCGCGGAGGGGTGGCCGGTCCCCGGGAGAAGCGGTGGTGGTGGTGGTGGAAGCTGCGGTGGTGGTGGTGGGTTTTTTCCGGTAGATACCAGCAAGAGTTACAATGCTCTCCAGCCACACTGAAGCGAACTGCGCTACAGGCATGGCCTTGTCAATAAGCCCGTCTGTCAGTTATCTTACAATGAAAGTTTGTTTGCTCAGTTGGTGATTTACTTACATCTTGTTTCTTTGTTATTTATTGCTATTTCACTTCATTTTATACTTTTTTGTTTTACTTTGAGAACGCCGTGTAAGTTTAAGCACATTCGAGCGGTATGCGTTCCGAGCGCCCGAGGCCGTTTTGCCGTGAGAACTGAAGCGACATTTATTTTTCTAAAATGACAAAAAAGGACGATTTTTTTGGGCTCACACGCTTACAACGACGCAAGGAGGCTAGAACGACCGGAAGAAGCAGAAGAAGAAGAATAAGAAGTGCACCCTGGTGGACAAGCGGCGCTTGGCTACTCACAGAGGGGGACTTTTTTTGTCCGTCGCAATTTGTGGGAATTAAAAACAAAAAGTGCGTGGAGGGAGGGAAAATAAGCGAAATTTTCACTCGATAATTTACGAAACAAAACAGTTGGTGTTGCGACACAACGTGTCTGGCCAGTCTATGGATTTTCGCGCGAGCTTTTTTTTTATAGATGAGAAAAAAATTGTAAAAAAAATATCTTCAACGGAACGTCCTTTTTGAAATTCGCCCAAAGTTGTACATCCGACCACCCCGATCGTACGAGTGAGCGTTCACTTTACGCGTTGCGTTCGAAGATTTTCGGGAAACACAACCGAACGGCATCAATGGGAATAACTAAAACATGAACACGATCTTGTCCGATGTTTATAGCTGCTCAACGTAACGATAACTGTGTTTTCTGCTTTCAAGCTCCATACGTGTTCATTTCTAAATGCCTAAACGGTTCCAATCGTTGTATCGTTTGCAAATCCTCGTTTATTTAAATGTCACCACCAATGTGTTTATCATATTCTAAAAATGGCTCATCTTCTCGGTGGTGTTTTATAGCACTGTTAATCTGGGTAGCCTACGCGTGTTTGGATTACTTCCGTGCCGTCTCGTGGCTAATGTGTGCTTACGACAAGATATGACATTCTATTTGCAGTCTATATATATATTTCGAAAGCCAACAGTACAGTTTCTCGTTTAAGGGGATCCCATTGCGTTTAGTCGTGTAACGTTGTGTCGAAAAGAGTCAATGTCTCCCTGTTCAAACCAGCAATGGGGTGGCACTCATCCTAATCAGCAAGCACGAGGAGTGGTGGACATTCCACATCACCTCAGCTGGGATCAGTCCCTCCGTAGGACAAGTGCTGTTAGCAAACCTCTATTTAGGCCAACAAGGCACACGAAGGGGTGGGCGACCACCATGCCATCTTTGTATTCCCAAATGCTGATATTTTGACAACGTACCATATATTAATTTTAAGGCTGAGTCGACTTAGGCGACGCCCAAGACCGGTTCAGATAATCGTAACCCGACATTGGCCGTGAGAAGGAATCTAACTCAGGTCGCGAACCACTACACTACCGCTCCCCGTGTGCCACTCCACACACACACACTCAACCTTGCCACAAATTGTGAAATGTCCAATTATTTCAGTATTCGCTCATGTCAAGTGTAAGTGCAGACAATTCTTGAAGGTTATTTACACAAATGAGGCATGCTCAGACCACGCTTTAGCAGGGATGGAGGTTGGAATTTGATTGTCGGGTATTTTTGCGTGCACTTACGAGAAATAAATGAAAAAAAAAATCTTTAGCAAAAAAAAAAATTCCTAATCTAACTGCTTAAGAAAAACGCAGGAGAAATCCGTAAAGCAAATTCAATCTATAAACATTTCTTTTTATTTTACCAGGTAAGGCCCGAGTGAGCTATACAGCTCTTTTTCAGAAGTGACCTGACCACGATTGATAGCTCAACGAAGCGGCTCATGGTGTGGAAATCTATAGCAGCCAAATACTCTAAATGCATGTTTCTAAATGTGGAGGGAAACATTGGAGGAACATTCACGTGACCATGGGGATAACACGCAAACTTCAAATATACAAAAAAAAGGGTTCGCGATTGAACCCACGACCTCCTGTGTACCAAGCAAGGTAGTTAACATCTCGCCACCACGGCACCCAACCAGCAGCCGTGTGAATGATGCTTATACGCAGCCTGCCCTGCGCAAGCATTACACTGCCCACGAGGGCAGGTGGCTCTAAAGTCGTCGTAGAGGCCTGATCGTCAAGACGAAACATTGATAGGCAGTGAGTGGTTGTCTCAGTTGGAGTTTGTGTAAACGCAGCAACACAAAATGCTATCGTTGGTCCTTCTCGATCAATATTTGCCACGAGCAGATACTGTGTTTAAACGAGACGACGCTATCGACTGGTTTTGAGTTCACCGAGTGTCTTCAGCTCGTTCTGGCCTCAAAATCAATGCCATCGCTTGGGTGCATGCAAAGTGTGCATCCACTGTTGGCTTTCATGGGCGTCTGGACACTGGCAATGTTGTTTAAATGTGTCTAAGAGACACCCACAACATATACGACAAGGTTGATCATATATCTGAGTCAACGTGCTGATTAGGGGACTTTTGAGTACACGGTAAAGGCACTCACAGCCGGCCGAGTTAGTGAGTCAGTGGCCCGTAGCTGTGTAAGTTGAGTATCAGTATCGTGAAGTCAAACTCCTCTCGTCTGTGATAAAGTGGAGGTTGGGCTGTTCGGATCGTATCTGTGATCTACTCAATAACCGCTAGTGGGGACAGTCCTCGGGACCCACCACCACGCTGTGCCACGTCTTTCTGCGTTTGCCAACGTACTCCTTCCCGATCCAAACTCGTTCCGCGCTGCGCGCCCCCGACGATTGTTAAACGTGTCCCACATGTCTCAAGGAGCGGCTACGATATGCGAGGGGGCCTTGGGCCTTATTCACTTCTGGGTTGATCGGGCCCTGACAGTGAAGGCAAAATGTTGAGTCGCAGCAAAGAAAAAAAACTAAAAAAGAGCAAAACAATTGCAGGCTCTGCACCAGAATACGTCTCACCTTTTTCATGAAATGAAAATTCAGCGGTTTAAACTAAACTATAAAAAACAGTGGTGTTTTCAAATCGCCGAAATAAAATGAGATCTCAAACGACACGCGTGGCGACTACTCCGATGCGATGTTGGCTAAACGTCAACGATGTTTCTCCGGCTCGAAGTTGTGCCAATCAGCGGAGTTCCATCTTCGGGTTTCGCTCTTGTTGCAGGTGGCACCTCCGAATGGCATGGTCGGCTACGTACAACGTTCAACAAACATACCGTACATGCATGCATACATGCACGTGCAGCTGGCGAATTCATTCGACGTGCACACCATGAAGGTGGATGCAGTGGAGTAACGAGCGTGGGGCAGGCATGGGGGGTGTCTTGCCCACCCCGTGGTGGCCAAAGATACGAGTTGGACCCCCCTTGACAACCACCATGAGATGTTTTCAACAACAGTGCAAAAGAACAACGCGCTTATTTAAAACTCGGTTTAAATGTATGTCATGGAAATGCTTTCATGAACGTTCCGCGTTTAATTTTAATTGAATTAGAGCAGGAATGTGATATTGCAAAGAAGTACTACGGAGCTGATGTGGTTGCATCTTGCAAAGATGGAGCAGCCCCTACGGCGTTAATTGTTCGAGACCGTGAGCGTAACGATGTTGTGATCAGGCAAGATGATCCGCGATATATAATAGCCGAGATGCGACCGTGCGAGACGAATCAAATATTGGGGTCCCCACCTGATCAATTGCCGCACCTCATGAGCTAATACTGTAGTTACTACGCCACTGGGTTTAAGCAGGGCCGGATTAAGGCATGGACTTTAGGAGCTGCAGCCCAGAGGCTTCTGCCAGCTGGAGTGCTGAATTGTATTTGTTGTTAGCCTTGTAAAAATTACATTAGATTTTTTTCATAACTTTGTTTTCCTTTTGAAAATATTACTGGGGGTCTCACAGTACCTGTAGCCCAGGGGCCTACAAAACCTTAATCCGACACTGGGTAGATGCAATGGTTTCATACACCCAAGTGGGTGATGCCGAGATGACACCTGCCACCAGACCGGTACTCGCAGCAGCAACAGGAAAACGCGATACAGAGCCCACTCTCGATCTCGACTGGGAGTCGGGAGTGGCACATCCCTGCTCGACAATTGTGACCTTATGGAGGGACCCCGGTGTCACGAATAAACGGAAGTCAAAATCGTAATTAATGTATTTCTTTTTTGGCGACTCCGTCCCACCGCGACCCACCAGCAATCAATCTTCTCGTTCTTCACCAAGCAACCGTCGTTGCCAAAATTGCCGTAGTCATCAACAAAACGTAATTAGCGCATTGTGTAGAGCTCGTCCAGAGGAATCGATTGTCGTATCGTTCGCCTTCAACAGACATAAAATTACGTTGCAAGGCAGTTTATGTGAGAGCCGGGGACTTATGGGGCCCCGGGGTTCCGTCATTAGGTTCATTTGTGACCGTTTAACATGCGGCAAGAAGACGAATGCATCCTGTAGAGACGTGAACCGACTGTTGGTGGCGATTGCTGTAAGCCAGCGGTCGGGAACCTATGGCTCGCGAGCCATATATGGCTCTTCCGGTGACGGAATATGGCTCCCAGACAAATTTGGGTTGTAAGCGAGTAACACCCATGAAAGCCAGCACGGCAAATAAGGGAGTGGGTGGCCTAAACCACGCGTGCCTGGCCGCCTTTGTCTCCACAGCTGCTGATGTTTATAGACTGCACCAGGTGCTGAAGGCTGAGTCGACATAGGCGGCGGCCCTGGACCAGTTGAGATATTCGTCACTAAGTAAGAATCGAACTTTGGTCACGAGTAAACTCAACACGAAGGACTTTCGAAAGTAAATTATAAATTGGGTCACCAATTTCGTAGCGCTGCCCACAGACATTCAGTCAGCACACATAAAGACACATGCACATTCATCCATATAGCACGCACACACATTACACATTCACACAGTCAGCAACTGCTCTGTCCAAACGCGCACAAATGCAGTGCAGTCCTTATGATTCGCACTCTCGTGATTCACGCTACCCTCGCAACTGTACGCGTGGGAGTAACAGACAGTCCCGCACTCCCTGTATAGTATCTGCATTGTTAAGCAGTAACCCCCCACTGGGAACCGCTTAGCCAGTAGGGGATGTCACAAACTCCCACAGAGTGCGGCTGCGATGACTTTAAACCCGTGGGCGTCTTCAAAACGAGTGGAGAAAAAAGTTTGTGATAGCCGTCTGGCTCGCACTCCGATAAGAATCGCCAGACGTGTGCTATTTCTCGGCCAACAACCGCTCAGTTACTTTTTCAGAATCGTCGGAATATTTATTCACACTGGAGGAATCCGATGAGTTGTCAAGCTATTTTTTTCCACATATGTACAGTAAGGGGCGGGTAAGAACGTTACAACAATAATAACTACAAAATTACGATAGGATCGCAAAGTATAGGAAAGGTAAACGAATCACTTGAAAAAATATACAAATAAAAACACCGAAAGACCCAACGAGTATGAATTGCTGCAGTCACGGAAGCGTTAAGTCAATATTTAATTCTGACCAGGTAAAGCCTACTAAGGTATTAACTTATTTTTCATAAGCGTCCTGGCCACAGATGTTAGCTTAACAAAGTGGCCCATCATGTGGAAATTTATAGAAGCAAAATTATCGTAATAATCTCAATGCACGTTGCTAAATGTGGAGGGGAAAAACTCACTAACGGTACCAGATCTGTGTACAAATCAATTTCCCTCCACTCGTACACAGATGCAAATTCCCCTGTAGGATGCCAACCCAAACTCGAAACTCGGATACTCATTGTTCACCCGTGTGTCACACCACCACCCCCAGTACCCACACTATTAATATATGTAATGACATCATGGGACCTCCTTTGCCAGTACCAAAATATACTAATAGGGTTTTTCCCCTTTTTTTCTGGCAACAAAACTGACACCTTTTGCAAGGAATCATGTCTACATTAACCGCAATACTTGCAGTCAAATGCAAACAAAAAACAATACTCTGGTAATTTATGCATTGTCTTTGAAACTGATTGGTCCACACCAGAGACAGCTTTCTTTGGAGCCTCGTCTCATATGGTGTGGACCAATCCGTTTCAAAGACAATGCATAAATTACCAGAGTATTGTTTTTTTGTTTGCATTTGACTGCAAGTATTGCGGTTAATGTAGACATGATTCCTTGCAAAAGGTGTCGGTTTTGTTGCCAGAAAAAAGGGGAAAACCCCTATTAGTGTATGTATTGACGTTATTCCATTGAGTTGGGTAAACATACCGAATCATCATTGTGGAATTGTTGTCCATCCTGATGGGTAAGCGGGTATGATCTCCCACCTGCCTAAAACTCCACCTCTTTATTTGGTGAAATATCACAATTTGGATAATGATTTGAGCCAATATCTGGCTATCTATATGTTCGTGGTAGATCTGGCACATTTAGTAGCTGCTGGAGGACACGTTAATCCATTACGTTCAACACTGGTAAACTGACTGCATACATTATTCACCGTATGTTGAAATTATTTCGTAACGTACGTAGCCAACCGTGCTAAATCGGAGGTTGATTCTCGGGCGAGCGATGGGATGCTTGTATAGCTTGATAATCAACGTATGAATCGGTGCATCATTCCGAGCCTGCGGGAAAGAAAACCTCACAGAGTCCCGGAACCATTGCAAGGTGGGTTCCTCCCACTTTGAAGCGTTTGGTACGATTCTAGATTTGAAGCTTTCGTGACTGCAAGGATTCATACCTTTAGGCTTTTTCGGTAATGTCACGTCGGTAAAAAATATAAATAAAATTAATAGAAGTAATAATAAAAATAAAATAATAAATCACGACGTTTCGGAGGCAACACAAGTCTCCGTCATCAGGTGGGACCGTCACAGCCAAATTTACTGCATCTGATGCAGTATCTTGATGCAGTAAATTTAGCTCTTTTATTTCTATTATTACTTCTATTAATTTTATTTTTATTTTTTACCTACGTGACTTCACCGAAAAAGCCTAAGAGTACGTTTGGTACGACTCCAACGTCCGCAGGTCGGCCGAAAAAAAGAAACCCAGAGAAAAACCAACAGAGGGATCCCATTAGGGACCAGCAGGTGCCACGTCATTTCCCTACGGGCTTGCATCTCGCACGCTGGGTTACAGGTGTGCGTTGTTGCCCCGTGAGGCTGGAATCTTGCAGATCGGAGCTCCATCAGGCCCATGAATCACCAACCCCTGACTCCGGGTAGCCGGTACACGACATGAAGGGGCCGTGTCTCTAACGCGTCGGTCGCCCCGGTGTTGTCGTTATTGTTGTTGTTGTTAATGGGTTCCCCGGCGAGGAGCAGCTACCGTGGGATGAACAAGACAACGCGTTATCTCGGACGTACAAAAGCCCGCGCAGGCTCTGATCGCTCTCTCTCTCTCTCATGTATTGACATATCTCTGTTAGACACATGTTGAGGTTTCAATGCGTAACCGCTGTGTCCCTTTTGAGTAAAAAAAAAATGTTGCTGTAACAGGAAGGTGGCATTGTCGTGTCTCTATTTGCGCACGCACGCGCGTGCCGCACGGGCGTGTGAACAATGAAGGACGGTGGGGGGGGGGCGCACCGAGGAGTGGTGGTGGTGGTGGCCAGGGTGGTGCGTGGATGTTTCATCGGTTATTTAGTTGCGTATTCAACGCCCGAGAAAAAGTTGCCCGGTGCAGCTCAGGAAAATCGACGCTCTGAGGGTGTGGGTTCTAATCTGTCCGTGCTTGAACCAGTTGCACAGGTGTTGTTGAGTTGATCGGCAGGGTTTTTTTTATTTCAATCGACTGGATTGCAGTTGCGTATGCCCAATTTGGCAAGGAGGCTAAGCATTTGCTGCGTACTGCATTGTAAGGGAATTAGGTTGGTAAATCCCTGCAAGTACAAACAGGCTGGAGTGGAGAATTTAAACATTAAACCTTTATGCCAACTGACAAGGGACACCCTCCAGCCACAGGGCCATTCAGGATATAATCAATAAATACCACGCATTTACTTTGGAGCTACCATTGAGGACTGCATCCATCATCCTCACAGGGTCGTTAAAATTGAGCACAACATTGTGGAGAGGTCAATGACAGTCAACCAATGGAGAAAATTCCCTGCTCATTACCCATTTAAGCAGGGAGACTTTTGTGATGGACACACGCCGGGGTTAGGCAATGTGTATGCCTTTGGCCAGCTCGGCGAAGTAAGTCCAATTACTATTCCACCAACTTAACTTTTTTTCCGACACAAAACCAGCATGCGAGGGCAGTGTAATTTATGACGTGAGCATGAAGTGTTAGCTTTAAGTAATGGCATCTTTAAGGTGGAGCTACGCGCCATTAAGCACAGACAAATTTAACGGGGAATAATTTGACAAAGTCAACTTTACTCAAAGCCGTGCCAAAATGCGATGTCTAATTATAAGGATCAGCGCCGAGAGATTCCGTGAACAGACGTTGAGTTCACTCGGTGCGTAAGTCAAAACACACAGGGCACGCAAACACGAGTGATGTTTAAACAGCAATTATAGTACGCCCACTCGGGTTGTTCTTGATACAAAAAGGGGCCTTAATTTTCAGGATGTATTATACTTCACCTACTCATCTTGGTAATGGTCACAATCACACACATCAGGAATATTAGCTGTACACGTACCGAAGGAGCTTTTGTACAGCAGTTAGCGTGATGTACTATAAACCGGATGAGCATGGTTGGCTACGTACGGTGTTAAAGAAGTTTAACATACCTACAACTCGAGTTTGATGGCTGCCCCACACCTAACAGCAGCGGTGAGTTATCCCTGAAGCTGTCCTGGGCCCTCCCTCCACCAACCTCCACTGACCAATGCGGTGAAATGAAATAAAATAAAAACACTCCCATGACCGAAATAACGTGGGCAGGTCCTAATCCATGCAAACGAATGTAAATAGTTAATATTTGTATTCCTATTCTTAGGTTTTTTTCGGTAAAGTCACGTAGGTAAAAATTTTAAATTAATAAAAGTAAAATAAAAAATAAATAAAAATCACGGCGTTTCGTGCTGTGACGGTTCCACCTGAAGACGGAAGCTTGTGTTGCCTCCGAAACGTCGTGATTTTTATTTTCTTTTTATTTTACTTTTATTAATTTTAATTTTTTTTACCTACGTGACTTTACCGAAAAAACCTAAGAATATGAATCCTTGCAGTCACGAAAGCTTCAAATCTAGAATTTTTATTCCTATTAATTTGCCTTCCAAGGCAATACATGAACAACAAGAACAGCAACACAAATAAGGAGTGCAATGCAGGGTGGCTCCTCGTATCGTTGGGGATGCAAAGGACCCATTTTCGCCGATATTATTTTCGATTTCACTCCGCACATCCGTCGAGGGGGAAAAGCAAACGAATAAGCGGATGAATTTTCCGCTAAAAACTTGCGGATAAAAGTAATACATTCCGCAAAACGTGATGGTAATACCTGCAAACGCAGATACACAAGAGGGAAGATCTCTCCCCGTTTCGCCTTTTACAGACCGCGGGGACCAGAGCTGTCAGCAAGTGCCGATTAAGGGCCAGCACGTCAACCTTTGT